ACCTATACGAAAACAACAGCGAGTGTGTTGCCAAATTGTAGGATCCCTGGTCTCCGGTCTAGGAAAAAAGGAACGGAAACACCATATACAAGGCTACAGTGCTACGGCATTTTCAGATTAAAAACAGCCGTTGAATCCCAAGCCAGTTCAAGCCACACGACTTAAACTAATATATTTTCAACTTGTGTTTTATTAAAAACATAATATATTTTAGTATTTTAGTATTAGGTAGACCTTATGTGATTTTAAATTTTAACCGTTCTTTAACTATCTAATCATATAATTAAAATATGACTGTAATAACGTCTTCAGTCGAGTATACTACTTGATGCTAGTCCCGCTTATAAATTATAGTGAGGGCGACACAAAGACTATCCCTTCAAAATAAAAAGTATTACAACTATTATTTTGTTTAGGGTTTTTACAGTAGGTACAGAACTCAGAAGTGTACAGTGAAATTGTGTATACTTCAATATTAGATACTTTTGTAATAATAATTATTAGTATGTATGCGGTCAAATTCCAGGTTGTTGGAAAGAAAATGAATCACAACTTCTTCTTACAAAGCTTTAGATTAAGTAATATTCATAGATTTTTCTAGTTTTTAGTGTATAATTAGGTAGGTAGTTCAAAATATTATCTCAAGTAAGGATGTTTAATGCATTTTCGTAATGTTTAACGTACAATTTTACATTATTTTAGTTTTGTTTTTTGTGTCTTTTGAATTTTTGAATTAATAATAAACCCCAAATATCTACCAATGAAATCAATTACCTTTAGGTCATATTTTTCTAGTCATAATTTTTTAATTATTAAACTCCCTTAAATATTAAAATATGTATTAAATTAATTTTTTTAGTATAAAGAAAAAAACATTTTTAGTTAATTTTATAAAGTGCATTATTGCGGTCAAAAGGTAGTGTTGGCTATTTTTATAGCTTTTTTGTTAGTTGTTACTTCTAGGAACTTTATATCAATCCCAAATTTCACCTTTTGACGAATCATTGAATGGTCACAACTCACAAGTGCCTACTGCCTACCATATATGTCAGAATCTACATTATGTTGTTATTAAAATATGTGCAAGTGAAATATGAGCGTACAGTTTTAAAAAATTAAAAAAATGGTCGAATATTTAATTAGACAAAAAACTTATAAGTTATTAGTATTTATAACAATATGTACCTGCTCAATCACTTGTATTTTAATTTTTTACTTCACAAATGATTAATCATGATGGGTACAAAGTCGTGAATTTTGGATACATTGTTTAAGACCGTAGTCCGTAATGATCCAGCACATTGAAGCTATGTGCCGGCCTGAAATTCTTATTTGACGGGTTAAGAAATGGTAAACATTGTTGATGTTTTTTTTTAGCGCTCAAGTGAGTAAAGTTGAACAGGGCCTTTTTATAATTATATTGATGTACTTTTTTCAAACTGGAACGATTGACGAGTTCTCCCTCTTTTGACAAACTCTATGTACATATATAATATAATATATATTATAGTATGTTTACACTGTGCATACACTATACTGTATAATATATAATTATAATGATTGAAACCAAACATAACAGATCACTGAACTTCAAAATCAATCCACTTTGATTTATATTAATGCGTTTTTATAATAACTGTGAAGAGAATTATTTTATTTAATACAAAAAAAAAATATATACCAAATATATACTAATTAAGAACAAATAAGAGATTGAGAAAAAATTTTAATAAACAGGTCGTTAAAATTATGAAACACAAATGTTTAAACAGTTGTAATTAAAATTATGCTTCTAAAAATAAACAGTAAAAAGTTTATTTGAAAAATATGAAACCAAATTAAAATTATACGAAATATTTAAAACACCTTTAGTGCCCAAATATATCAAAAACCTAGTACCCTCTCGTGGATTTATTTTAGTTATCCTGAATAATACTGGTAATTTTTATATTGAAATATTTTTCATTCACTTACTGTAAGCGACAAATAATTATGTATTAACTATAGAAAATCCGTTGTTCAACGATGTGTGTAAATTGGAAAACTGTATAACAATTTAATTCAAAACCGTTTTGGACGTTCAGAAATAGTCAAGGAGATTAAAAAAGAAGATTGGTTTGGGCAGGAGTCCTTCTACAGGGCATATTTAGTGGAAACATGACTATAGGTTTAATCTAAGAAAGGTGTTTGAAGAAGAGTGGAAGACCCATTTGGAAGAAGAACTATAGAAAGGCGGCAGTCATAGTAGGGTGATTGCGTCAAAAGAGATGCAAAGCTAGTGAAACCTAATAGACAATGGAGGGAAAAAAGCAAGGGATAGAAATATATGGCAGTACGTTTATTTAGTGGCATGAATTATGATCTTAATTATAGCCGAAGCCATAGAAGAAAAGGATTTAACGTCATTTAGAACATTCTCAATGGGTTAATATTATCGGTTACCTATGAAGAAGTGGTTATTGATTCCAAAGAAGTTTTTGACATCACTTCTCAAAAATCAAAAATAATGTATGCACGTATATACCTGAATTAAAATTAAAAATTGTTTAATAAGAGGCCTAATAAAAATTATACTTATTGAGACTTTATGTAAATTCTATTTTTATTGTGTTGAGAGGTTTTGAAGGGCTACAGGTTACCACCAGGTAGTAAATTCGCAATCAAATTTTTCATCCACCTCCAAAAAATATATAGAGAATGCCATTGAAAACTTTTGTAGTTTTGTAAACTATGGCTTTTCTATAGACTGAAAATGAGTTACAAAAGGTAAAAACGTCTATTACGGAATTGAGTTGATTTTGAAAACAATAAAAAAAACAGTAAAAAGTAATGAAGAATTATTGTAAAATCAAAAATGTGGATAACTTATGTATCGTTGAACTGCTAGTGAATCCAGAGTTTTGATTATTTTTATACCAACGTATACTTAAATATTTCCCGAAATCCAAATACGATACTTAAGTTAATGTCTAATGTAATACATTGAAATAAAATCTGAATTGTGTAGTTAACACCCAAAAGATCTGATTGAAATTGTCTACCACAACTTACAAACAAACACCCTTTTCCTTTCCTTAGTTTAATTATGGCTAATTATATGTAATTACTAAATTACAGACCACGAAAACAAATAATATGTTTTATATTTTAGTAGCAAAACTCGTAAGGATGAATGAATGAAAAAATATTGATGAGTTACTCATTATTATGTTATTGTTTATTGTACCAAAATATTTATTTCAGCGCGAGTTTTTAAAAACGTATACCTAACACATAGGTAACCTTTTAAACACAACATGTGGGGAAGATAAGTATGTAATATCTATTTAGGTTATAAATAATATGTTAACAAAAGTCAATTAAACTATTATAAAAATAAGTACTTGTAAAAGCATAATATAAATATAAAAAGTTTACATATTATACTGGTTTATATTAGGTTAATATTTATGATGATGAAAATGTTTATATAACATCAAGAATCCAGTTGTAACAACCTGGCTGTAAATTGTACAAAATAAAATTGTATACCTATCTATATAGTTAAAAATACGCAGAAAATAACTGTGTACATTTTCAAGTATAAATGTTATTAGACTAAACGGCTGAGTACATATTAAAAAAATGTATATTGTATGCATGCACAACATATCTAATACGAGTAGAAACTGTTATAATTCAATAAAATCGTGCAATTGCAATATGTATACAAAAAGGAAAAATAAAGGGAAATATATATTATCCAGATATAAAAAAAAATAATCAATTCGAATCTCTCTGCTTGGTACAAGAAATAATATACCCATAAGTACGATAATTTTTCTCCATGAAAGAGAAAAAAGTGTATTCGTCATGAAAAAAAATAAATCCACTGACTGTGATTCAATATATATAATATTAACTACCTATTATCGTACTATGAGTATATAATATAATTGTTGCGAACGTTTTTTTTTTTTTTTTTACAATAATCTTCAAATGACCTCCAGCGAGACCGTCCTATTATGCCGATCCAACGATAACACGTGAACGGTATATTATACATTAATACAAAAATATATATATTACATATTGGTACTTAGTATAAAATATATATCATAATATTTCAATACATAATTTATTTGATATAATATGCACACGAGAATATTTCATTATTATATTATATAGGTATATATTCAGAGCGTAACGTGTATGGAATTTTTTTTAATTCGTCTTTTTTGTTTTTCTCTGAATTAACGGTTAACAATATTCATTGAATAAAAAAATCACGTTCGCATATTATATTATGAAAACAGTAAAATACTCATGTTATAATATTATACAAAGCCGAATGTATTGGGTTTTATATATAAATCATGCAACCGATGATGATCCATTATACGACGTGCAGTACCTATAGCTGAATATTATGTTATTATTATAGTAAATACTCGTATGAACTATATCGGGAACAAAAAATAGAAGAAAAAATAAAAGGTGATAAAGAATCTCGACCGACAGACGACGATGTGGAATGCTGCACGACATCCCGTATATAATGACCGCAATCGCGTATGGACCGATTGCAGGGAATATAATAATAGTCATAATAATACTATAAAGTAATTCGCGTAAGACACATTTCTCTGGATTTTGAAATACGAAAAAAAAAAACAGAATTTCATCCATTTCCAATTATGTTATCCCTCCATGGCAATTTTTCACGCTGGTCACGTTAATACCGTGAAGCTGGTTTCGAAAGAAGAAAGTATAATATGCCTACCGTTTGTACCTGTATTATACTATACCTCTGGATCAGTCTCAGCGCATGTAGGTATTATAACACTCACCACTATCAATTTCTTCGTGTGTACCTATGCTACCTAATATATACTACTACTAATACTATTACTGCTACTACTAATATTAGGTACCTACTACTACCATTACTATTTACTATTACCATTACTATTTACTACTACCATTACTACTACCATTTCTACTACCATTAATACTACCACTATTATCACTATACTGTCTATACTATACTGTTGCTACTATAATACGCATTGTGGCCGAAGACAGAGGTCGTCGTCGCTACCGCTGACACCAAACCGCTAAAATGTCCGATTCGTCTTCGATTACAATGGTAAGCGAAATTCATAAATATTATTGTTTTCGATTCCGTATTTTATGTAAATCAATCGCCTGAAGAGACATTCTGGTTTTTTTTAATTAGTTTAATTTTGGTAATTACAAGTTAAAACGTTTTTTGTCAATTAGGTATACATACTTTTTCTTAGCAAGTTTTACTTTTAAATAGGAATGCTCAAAAAATGTCATACCACCGATTGGAAACGGTTCTATAGGTATAGTCGGTATTTTCGACAGTTTGCTGGGCACATGTTTTCATTTACTCAATATAGTTATAAATAAATAACTTATTATTTTTAAACAGTTCTATAAACGATATACCTAAATGGCTAAATGTAAGTGTATTTTAAATTTATATTTTATCACTCAAAGCCATTAATTTATGTAGAGGTAGGTGGTAACAATTATGATTATCCAATTCATAAACCTAACCTTTTTTACATAACTTTATCAATACAAACACCATTAATTTTAATGCTTAGCTATATATACAAAGTAAACTTTCATTATGGTAATTAATCTTTTTATTATTTCCATTAGTCGGGTGAACATAAAAAAAAGAAAAGAATGTCTAGGTACTGCTGGTGTTTAAAAATTGATAAAACGTTTACGATCGTCGTTCATATTCAAAATAAAGTACCAACATTAAAAAAAAACTTTCTTTACAAAAGTTCTACGCACCTTAAAGGCACCGAAGGGGAAAATGTGAAAGATGATCCAAAAGATAATTTAAAAAAGTGTTGGAATACGAAAAAGTGTATGTTATATATATTTACGAACATCAACGATAATAGGTGTTTATAAAAAAAAACAACATTTTGCTTTCGGTTCAGTAAGTTGACATGTTTTTTTTTTCTTTACATTTAAAGATTTGCTGTTGGTTTTAAATCAGAAATTTCAGAGAGGTGAACAAAATCAAATATAATAGTTTTTGTAATACACGTTTTTCAATTTAATAACTTTTTACAGTATGTAACTATATGGTGTAATCTTGTGGATTGGACAGTATTTGTATAAGTGGTTAAAGTATTCCAATTTCCAAGTCATTGTGGCTCCTTGAATTATTTTGAACAAAATCAGTAGTTACTGAAATAGTGAAATGTTTTTTATTTTTTTTCGTCGCTTAATATACATTATATATTCCATCAATGTTGAATACTGACAAAATATACGTTAAAGTTTAAAGCGAGTCAATCTCAATTTTTTTGGAAATTCCACTGTTTGGGAACAAGTAGAAGATGATCTTACTAGTTTCGTTTGAAATTCTGTTGCAGGCGCAGTTGAAATTTTTTAAAACCGATATAATTGTAGACACATAGCAGTAAGCAAAGTCATAGGTACATAAATCAATAACATACTCGTATTAACTATAATATTATAGCAATATTTCAATGTAGGGTTGTCATTTGCAGGAAACCAAAAAAATCCTAAGAATCAACCCACGTTGAAAAAATAGTATAAATCAATGACATTTTTTTAGCACCGGAAGTACGTTGACCCGTGGGACTTGGACCTGCGAGAGGTGTCATGGAGGCACTCTAGTGACACGACGGATTGTTCGGCCGACCACCAAGTAGTGTCACTGTCCTCGGCCGCCGGACCGGTGTCCACGAGATCCGAATTCGTGTACGTGCCGGGTCCGGCGAAGAGCAACAAGTCCAGCGCCGGTAGAACAAGGGCTCGATCGGTTGCCCGGTACGATTGTTGTCAATGTTCACCTAGTTCCTCGTCTCTTGCCCTCGTCCCACCAGATCCAAGTAAGCACAGTTTTTTTGATACGATTTCAGGCAACGAGTTCACTTTATAATCTGCAAGCACTATTTGCTTAGGTTGCAATTTTTTTTGTTTTTTATAAAATGTCATGAAATGTTCATCTATATGAGTAAGCTTAGAATATTGAATTTTCATGCTATCGCTGTTTCGTGTTTTCATGCCATTTTCATACTGTTTGGTACATTTTAAATTGTTTAATCACTATAATAATATATTATATTGTCATTTTAGTTTTAAATAAACGATTTCATATTTTGATTTTTCTAAAAAAAAATATTTATCCTTATTAATATTGATCACTTTTCGAGATATTCATATAATACAATGTCATCTTTTTGCTAGTCTACTTCTACTATCTAATATTTTTATGAATGTTTTGTCACTTCTTACCAGTGGCGCCGAACTATACATTTTTTAGTGTGGCAAGTAAAATAAAATAATACCCACCCCTTTATTAAAGTGTGTAAAAAAATGACGGATTACACCTCCACCCACAACCCCCTTTAAAGTATAAATGATTATTAAAAATGTTATTGTTTATTATTTATGAAGTTTTTACAACACACCGATATTTTATAAAAGGTTTCCAAAATTATATACCTTCAGTGTTATTTTTCTATTGACCTGTATAATACTATGGTCTATTTCTGAGATTATTAAAATGTGGTATACGACCCCCGGGGAACCCTGACAGTCATGAAGTTATTAAGTAAAGCTTTGAAAGTTTTAATTCTATTCTTCACACCTTATTTATGTGAAAAAGTCTTCTTCGTGTTTATATTCAAAACAAGTTTAGAAATCACATAGAAAACATGGAGGTCGATGTGAAGCTTTTAATTACTGAGCCTGATGTTCAAAAACCTATGTTTTTCATGGAACACTACATTTTGCATTAAGGAATAAAATCAATTTTGTACCTAAAATAAAGAATAAAATCTAATTTTTAATTTTTAATTTTCATATGATATTAAGTCAATTATTGCATATTATTCTATATGCTTTTGATTTATAGCGGACCAAGCTAAAAATCCAGGCTATACAATGGTGAGTTTAAAAATCGAAATTTTAAAATGCATATTTTGCATATTCGTGAATTTAAGGAGAAAGTGCATATTTCTTGAACATAATATTAGGAATATATTTTAAAATTTTCTAAAAAAAAAACGATGTTTATATTTCTTAAGCTGTGTATTTTAATAATAATATTGAATATTAAATCAATATTATTCAATGTAGGTATTGATTGTTATCATCGCAGTTGACTATTTACGTAACGACAACTGTGTGATGTGCATATAATGTCTGTCGCACTACTATTCTGATGTACTATCATTTTGAGTATATTTTTTTAAACTATATTTTCAGTTCAATATTATGTCAAAATGGCAAACAGTTTTCGCCATATTTGAAGTATAATAAATTTATTTTACGTATTTTACATTTCTTTTAGTGAAAATTATAAACAACATAAAATGATTTTTTTGGAATTTAGAATTTTCATTAAACTCTTTTGCATATTTTACATTTTTCGTGCATATTTTACTATTTTTTAGTGCATATTTAAATGCATATTTTTCCTTTTTTAGCCCCTTTAACTTCCGACGAGGCCTATTTGTATACGAAAACTGTAAAAAAGTTTACTTTATATTTACTCCACCCCCACCACATTTCATAACCCTAGCTACGTCACTGTACAAAGCTATAATAGTATAGTGCATGTTATTTTTGCATTTCTAAGCACCAACTTTACAGTTATATCTATGCTATTAATAGTATGCCTATATTTATGGTAATAATTTTCAAATTTTATTTATGGACTATTTGATTAGTAGATTTATCCAACTTATTAGGAAAATATTGATAGCACCAATAGTTTTTGGTCCAAATTTATGATCGTTTCGCAAAAGCTGTATACATAAGTAATAGTCAGTAAGTACTTATAAATATTAAATACCTTTAAACGCGTAATCAGAGTGATTTCTTTAGCATACTTACCTCAATTATTTACTTGAATTATATACAGTGATACCTCCCCTCATGGACACCTCCCAAAAAGAACACCTCTCAATAGCGCACATTTTTTTGAGAACGAGTCAGGTTTTTACTACGCTCTTCAATGGGAAAACATCCTAATAGCGGACTTTCTGAATAGTGGACACCTATTTTAATTTTAATTTTAAAAAATGACAAAAAGACTGCAAAAAATGCCCTCACACAATTAGTGCAATGATGATGAACTCGTTCATTACACTCGTTATGTGACTATTAGATAGATTACGATGAACATCGACCATAATGATAAATATATCTATGTCTATTAGTTATATACTCGTAATTATAAACAGACCAAACTTACCGATTCTTTCACACCAAATTGAATAGTATTTATGTATGTATGCATTTCTTTTATTATTGTTAAAATATGCACTTTTATTTTTTGTAAAATATTTATTTAAATAATATGTATTGTTAAAATAATAATATTATTAAAACAGTAAATGATAGTATTACTATTATTATAAACAACAATTTATTAAGTAATAACCCTTTATGAATTTTAAATTTTAACCCCTCTGAATATCGAAAGCAATTTGGTGATCAAGAGTGTCCGCTATTCAGATGTTTCATTGAATATATAAAATTCTAAATATCAAGTTACGGTACCTACTATTTAAGATCATATTTCCAAATAATTTTTAATTAGTTTTTATGGTATTTAAGGAGTGTTCTAGTGTGGGTATATAAACGAGTATGTAAAAAAAATTTCGGTGTGTTTTTAGGATCATCGACCATATCGTGGTTCAAGAATATGATGAATTCTTACTAGGGAGAGTACTAGGATTGATGCTATATAATTTATTATATATTATATGCACCCAAACAACGATATTTTGAAATATTTATTATTTATTATTGGATTTCATGCGAATTGACGAGTCTTAGATAGTAAGTTTTTTTATTATTCGATGTTATTATTTGCTTATAGAAATTAAAAATATGAGGCCATTTTTTTATTTATGTCCATAAAGAAGCCCGCATTAGAGATAGGACGTACATAGGACATACAAAAACATTAGAAAAATAGCATTTGGCAACCTTTCTTAGATTTGAGCAAATGCGTGAAATATAAAGTGACAAAGTATGAAAAAGTGATATCTGTCATGTTTCCCTGATTTCAATTATAATAAATTAGTATGCAGTATGATTCATCAATAATTTATTTTTATACTCATATTTTTTCATTTAATAATGAATTTATTCAAATTCTGATTTTTGATATTTTTAAATATACTTTAAGATCGATTTTGATACGTCAATATTTTTAGATTAACTATCCGCAAAATAATTTACATTTACAAGGAGAGTTATAGTTTGAAAAATAAATGTTGTGTATCTCCACAGAACACTTTTCCATAAAACATTTTTTGAATAACTATATTGTTGAATAAAAAAGGGGAAGAGCATGCTTTGCAATGACACCCTAGATATTGCAATATTTACTCGAATCAATGCAACGGATGTCGTTATTCCGAACACGGCCAGCAATCGCAATACCTATAACTGGAATGATATTGGAGACTACTAGACCCATTTTTACGAATTACCTACAACATTTTGAATGCTTACAAATCGTCATTATTTGTTAAGGGTATGTCAGAGAAAGAATATACGTGTCAAAGGGTGACACTCGTTCAAGTGGTCACTATAATTGTAAATATCGAATAACATCAATGCTATATCGGGTTCAAATGTAATATTATATTTCCAAAAAAAATCTTAAATGAAAACTGGAAAAACAAAAATAGATGAAAGATTTTTTCTAAATTCTCAAATTATCTAAGCTATAATCATTTCATATTAAAATTTTTTTTATTATTGTTAAATCCTCGATAAATAGACCATTGGCTTGTATTACTTAAACCAAGCGTAAACTAAATTGTACAATTTTATACGTTTCATAAATAACAGTGTTTTTTAATAATGTCTTCGTCGGAGCCAATAGTGTGTGGAAGAGGTGTTGATGTACCTATGTCAAATTTTTGTTCGGCCTCTTATGTGTTCTTAGTATTTTTACATTCCATAAAAATATGTTTGTTTGATAGCCACATGTTTGACATGTTTTTAATGGCTCTTTTTTCATAAAATGGACATGTGCATAATGTGTATGACCTGTTCTAAGGTGATTTAATACAAATCATCTCTTCGTTTGAGATGTTCTTTTAATTTAATTAACTGTTCATTTTTAACCATTTATTTTTTAATCTGTTACAGATAATTTTTTAAGTCTTTGTCTGAGTTTGTATTTCATACGTGGCTTTGATTATTTTTCTCTGTCAAGTACGTCCGCTCTTTCATTACCTGTTATTTTGCAGTGCCCGGGTATCCATGATAAAATTATATTATTTTTAATTTTATTGGTTGATTATTTTACTAACAATTTAACATTATCGTTATTATTATTAATACCTAAGGTTATGATATTATAGTGCTCATAGAGTCTGTTAAAATTGCATAATTTTTGTTTGACAGGTTAGCACTGATTATATGGGATAATAGACCCGCTATTCTTATTTATATATGTATGACAAAGTTATTTTTAATTGCACACATTTATATGTTTATCAACAGGTATAATTATTATATTTAAGTAATTTAAATTTGACAAAAAAAACAAAAACTTTATGAGCTTAAAATTCTCGAGGATTGTTTAACATTTTTATTTTGCTTCTCTCTGACTAACTTCGATTTAGGTACTTGAATTGACTGTGAATATGCATATTACATTTCACATTGTCCCTTTGTAATTTTTTCAGACGAAAATCTATACGAGTATTGGGAAGCTGGTTGCAAACCACCACCGTACTGCAGGTACCCCGTGGTTGACAATCATTTCTACCCGGCCGCTGGTGGTGGATCTTCGAAACAACAATGCCGTCTATTATACAACGTCTCCAGGCCGGAAGTTGGCCGGAACTCTCGTTACAACGACGGGTAAGCCCATGATAATTTTCATTATTATTATTAATCTATAAACGTATATTATAAGTTATATATCATATATTTTCTGAACGCGAGCATATATTTTTGCCTAATTTCTGCTAATACCATTAAACCACACAGCTTAGCCGATCATTAATTTTATCCTCGGGCGACTTGTTATTTCCCACACATATCAATTTCAATATTTTGGGAGAGTATTATTTAATGAGTTCGAATAAAAATATCCGTTATGAGATGGTTGGTAAAATGTGTAAATATATATTATACTTGCCTGGTTTCATTCAGATTTAAAAAAAAGCTATTATTAACGCTATTATTAATTAATTTCCACGATATCAATTTAATTTTTCACACATTTTTAATTCACAATATGCTGATTTAGAAAAATCTGAAAAAGTAGAATTTTGTGAAAAGGATATGATAGTATTTCCGAGCTCACTAATTGGTTAAAATATTATTTTGACTTGGTATATTATGTAATTGATATGACAAATGGACTAATGCCAAAACTTCAAAAGATGACGACATTTAATTTAGAGATTAATGATTATATTCTATAGGAACTGATAATTCTGAATTATTCAGATAGAATCAATTCATATTTTTCCACTTAATTTAGTGATGAGGCAATCTTACAGTAATCCAAATACAGCCATCAATAAGTTTGTCACGTTTGACTCTCATTACAATGCACAATGTTATAATCAGCACACCTGAATATTGAAATATCCATCTGATAATTGATTTTTTATTAAAAATTCAGATAGAAACGAAATCTAGTTCAATTTTGTTATTAGAATATCTGAATAAATAAAGCAAATGGGACTGAAATTCTTAAGCAAAAAACGTAATTTTAGATTTAAGGTTCTTATCAGAGTGATGAATGTATTTGGTTTACAATGTTATGTTTTGCTTTTATTTTTGCTTGACCTTACCTTCAGGAGAAGTAAAATTTCTTCGATCTTCAAGTGGTTACTGATACTACATTAGATCAAGTTAGTACTTAAGACGGGAGAGGAAGAAAATTTCATCAGTGAATCTCGTTGGTACGATAATACTGAGACATAACAGTACAGCAAAAACCGGTCTCCTCAACAGCAAATTCTAACAAAATAATTTTTACGATAAATTAATGAAAACTATATTTTACCATTTGAATTAGTTTTTAGAAATATCACAATTATATTCCAATAACCAATCCTAAAAGCGTTAGACCAATGGTACTCAACAGCTAGTTGCTACCATCAATATATAATCCTTTAGCGACTAAACGGTAACTATGGATAAATAAGAAGTGTGCTGTAAAGCAAAACGTCCAAAACGAAAATAAAGAGGATCGGAAATTCAGGTACGTATAAATTAGACCAGCGCTCGTTATCCTCTTCGGCGACCCGTGAACGTCATTCCGGGCTGGGTTAAGGAAATAAATCCTAAATATCCATATATAATATATATATATAATAATCATTTATTTATGATGCAATTATTTTATGCGCTTGCCAAAGAACGCAAGATGATCGTTTTCTACGTAATTTCCTTAAATATAATGCTTTTTCGTTTATGCGCAATGCTTTCTATGAGTAGGTTTATTACAATAATAAACACTCAATAGCAAAAAGGATCATTAAAATATTTGAATTTTTTTTATTTCTTTCTTCTTTTAAAAAAAAGTAAAACAACAGTACCAGTTGTACAAATTTATGATTGAAAACATGGATGTTGTATCTCAGTATCTCACAGTTATTATATATCTCGTATGCATATATTGAATATTGAATATTCCTATGGATTGTTTCCCCGCATAAAAATACTTTTTCAGAGAAAATAACAATATAACACATAGTCTTGCATTTGTTATTTTATTACACTAACGTTCTGTAGAAACTGACCTTTAATATTCAAAATATACAAGAAAACTGAACAATTCACTCGATATTTCCAAATTGTGTTACACCCCTTGTATTTGACAATGTATATTACGAAACCCGTGTACAATATACGTATATTATGTTCGGCCAATCGTCCATCTTAAAATAAAGACAATTTTTCATCATTTATTTTTATTTTTTCTGTACACGTCTTCCCAGGAAATTTTGCACTCGGGATTCGGGACATTTGGTAGCTTTTGTGACACGTGCTCGGGAATATCCCGAAAATATGACGTAAGTCTCCGTGCCCCCTCCCCACCCGCATCACGTTCTGAAAACGTGAGGCGTCTCGACGTAGTTCCATGACGACAGGTGTCAGGTATCGTCAACGCGCCCGCAATTATAATAATATATAATACTATGTAGTCGGCCGAGGCACGTGCTTCGTCGCGAATCTATACATGATATATTATTAATTATTTATTTCAGCCAAATCAATTACAATTATGTAATTACAATAAATTACATTAATAATAGCTGATATGTATACACCAACTGAGCTGGAAGCTCGTATCTGCTGTAAAGAAATTATTATTTCGAACTAGAACCAGATCGAATCTCAAAAGCTACGAATTTCGTCGACACATAGAGGCATAATGTATAATATAATATTATTACACATTATGTATTTTATATTTTCCGCATTTATGGTGGCGTGGATGCGCCATGTGTTTTGAGCATTATGTTTTAATCGATTATTTCGCATACCGGCGCCAGGAGGAGAGAACGCTTTATAATCGGCTTATAAAATATTTTCGAGTCGTATGTTTATTTCCAGTACCACCCTATAATTTATTATATAGGTAGACACAAGACACATACCTACGCATGTGTAGGCAGATACATGCACATGGCAATATAGTATCATATTATCATGCATAATTCATCAGGGCGCGTAGAGCGTATTGGTGGCTGTATAGTCAATTTCCCCAAAAACTTGACCCAAAATATATACAACATAATATGTAATTTGAAACAATTTTAAAATGAATTTGTATAATTTGCATCGAAATAAAGATTATGTAATTTGCACCATCTCAGGTAATAAAAAATATGAATTGTAATTTGCACCAAAATTGAAATCGATTATCCTTTCGATATAGTAAGTACCCAGTAAGTACCGGCGTACACTTTCTGATAATAGAGTACCTATAAGATATTGAGATATGAGAAGCTATTATTAATGAGTATAATGATATTAATGAGTGCTAATAACTAATGACACGTAATATTTTTATTCTATTTAGTTTCTTATTTCACTAACCTGTTCACAACAGCAAACCGACACCGTTCTACGGTACGTCAGTATTGACTTTTAAAGCTTCCTAATAATAATAGCTAATACCAGTAATACCTATATATTTCATTATGAAAAACATATTAGATAATATTATTATATTTAAGTATATTTTTTTTTATCGGTCCTGGTATTATAAAAAATGTCTGCTTCGACTACTAAGGCAATGGCTTTACATTAGTACATACATTACTTATAACTTTATAAGTTATAATGATAAAATCTATGTAAAAGATGAGAGAAAAAATAGTTTTAATATTTAAGTATTTATATACATTTCAATTGTTGTTTTTTATTAAATATAGTATTTTGATTGTTTTTAAGTAGTTTTCAAATAAAATACTTACATAAAAATCGAGTTTTGTTTTTAAACAAACCGATGCACATTTACACGTACACAACACTCTATTTCAATACAAACACGTTTCGCACACTTCATTTCACTGTCCATTTCGTGTCATAAAATATACGTCGTTTGTATTGCAGTTTTCACCAAAAATATTATGTCATTGTTTTTTTTATGATGTTCGAGTGTTTGACTACATTTCAAGTGTTTGGCTTCCGTCGACCGCGACACACCGATAATACTATTTCTATCATTTCTCTCAGTTCCCGTAGTATACGATTTAAAAGTCTATAATATTTAGTTTGGCTTCTTTTATCCTTATATTGAATAATGTCAATGATTTTTTATTCGAGATTTTGAGTAGGTAGTAAATATTTCATTGTTAGTGGACAGTTTTACATGGTTGTGTTGAATCTTGTTTAGAGTTAAACATAATATTTTTAAGTTTTAAACGTTATATTGTTATTGTTCTACGGTGCTATTTTAAATACTAGTTATTATGGTTTTATCCTTGCAAAATCGATACAGTTTTAATACACTTCTGAAATCTGAATTTGATCTGCGTGAAAATCAATTCAGCTGCAGCGTAATATAATGCCAGGCCACTCATTAAAACAGTAATTCAACCATGATTAAATTGTTATTTTTCAAATACCTATAATAACTTGGTATGAGATCAAATTTCTACACGGAACCGTTTTATAGTTCAAATTCTCAATGTACGCCTAGCCTATCGTAGTTAATTTTTACGATGTATTAAAATATTTAGCAACTACAGTCGTATAAACTAAAGCAAGTATATTGTATGTTTGTGTTATTCAATTTCTCTTGCCATCTAGTGAAATCGAAAACGGAAAAAATCTAAATAAAATACTATTGTGCCTTTTAACGTTGTAACTGGTGAATTGTCACATTAGTTATCATTATATAGCACGATACAATCTATATAAGCTGAATACTACCAAACAAATCGTACATAATGGAATTGTCGCACACGTTGGTATGACATAATAATATTATAATAATGCTATGATGACGCGTGTAGTTTGCCAATATTATTGGTATCGTGTACCAGGGAAGGTTACAACTTACAAGTTAACAACCTCTATTATGATATCGCCCCTGATCATTATAATGTAATTTTGACTGTGCTATATGAATTCAAAACAACATCCATTGTTTTGCGTGTATAATACAAATATTATTTTTTAGCCAAATGTCAAAATATATTAATCGCAGACGAAATAAAAATGGGTATACGGTTTTTTTTAATCTACAAAATATTTCATAATGTTGTACAAAGTTAGTTGTAGTTCTAGATGCAAACATTAATTTTTTTATCCATCTATTTAAATAAAATAGTTATCCGGGATAAATTATCTAAATAATTTAAATTTTTTGTGACAAGATTTTCAATTTT